ATGCAGAGGCGGATCCAGGAATTTTTGATTGGGGGGGTCCAAACTTTGGTTCAGAAAGGACTGTTGGACTCTTTGAGGCAAATTACTTCTCCCCCACACCCCCTCCCACCAGTCGCGGTTGCACGTTATAATTCCTTGGCCGCTTACCGTTTACTTGGATTCATTAAAAAAATCAGCCAGTTAAAAGTGATATACAATCCTGCCTCAAAGTTGTAAGCGTCAGGTTTGATAGGGGGGGTCCGGACCCCTCGGACCCTCCCCCTGGATCCGCCACTGCAATGTGGAATCTTTTTGTTTTCTTAAAAGCAAAGAAGGTAAATTTTATTGCTGACGTCATCTATGCGTGTATCCTCCAATAGATCACAAGTAAGGACCAATCAAATTGTGTATAATTCAACTTATTTTATGAGCAAGAATATGCAGATATTATATTTGTTGTTCTTCAACCACACATTTTCTAGCCGTATGATGTACCGATTTCGTTACCAGCTAAAAATATATAAATTATTCCGCTCCTTTCCAATGGTGTAAAACGCCTGCGTTGTTACATGGAAAAAAGGAAACAAGTTGAAAAACCCTGATGGGCCCCTGCTTCGCGTTACTTTATAAGGAAAACATGATCGTGTGGATGTATGTTAGAGCCAGTTCACACCAGATTCTCATGCGTTATGTACAGGGGAATGCATAGCGAGAGAAGAGAATTGATTATCAGATCTTGAACATTGGAAACTTTAAATAAAGTCTTCAGATCGCAAACAAAGTTCACCTTACAGTAATTACCGAATAATGCCTGACCTTAATGTCGAACTCAGGGTCTAGTCATTAGGCTAGTGTGAACTTTGAGGTAGGGCCTGTGTACCACAGACTCGCTTGGTTAACTTCAGAGTTTCTTTTCCAGAGGAATAGCTTTTCTCTTTATGTTAGCATGATTTTGTCGTTTTCATAGCATAACTGATCATCAATCGTCTCTATTTTCTTTTTGTTTTACTGGTTTATTATACCACAGTTGACTATTTGCACAGCTTCTTCACACCTCCCTTTTTTCTTTTAATTGTCCCCTAGTGCACAAGCGAAACAGAGACCGTGAGCGAGGAGGAGAAAAAGGCTTTGCGATAACTCTTATGCATTAGCTATGTTAGGAAAACAAAACAAAACAAAAACGTACACAACGAAAGAAAAAAAAATTAATAAAAAAACACTGTAGACAGGCTATCTCGTGCCTTACAGTAAAAGTATAGATTTGTCCGACAAAAAGAGAAAATTGCAACAAAATTTCAATATAATGAAATTTCAATGATCTATTATTTTTCGAAAATGCAGATATTTTTCAAATGGCGTTTACTTCATCCGAGCGGTAGAATCTCAGTCTTGTACAACATATCATTGACATAATACGTAAAGAGCGTTTGTATCCTATTTTCGAATACAACCGTCATAGGAGCATAAGCTGAAAGAAACGATAGACGTATATCACAGCTGCTGTTTTCTGAGGGAGAAAAAAAGAACAATCTCACAGTGGGAAATTTATCGGCATAACTGTACATCGAACAAAGCAACCGGCGCGTATCTTGAGTTCAGTTCTGAATGCAGTCGCCATACGTTCGAAGATGCCGTTGCGATCTGCGGTTGATCCGAAGTTTCGGATTCCCGAAGTCCAAGACCCCTACTTCGTTTAAAGACTTCGCTGTAGCCAACCAAATTGGCTGTTCTACTCGTCAAGTCCCGAATATTACCGAAAAGTAATTTCTCCTCACGACATCCAGAATTGTGGAGAAGAGAAAATGGAAAAAATTAAAACGATCAACAAAGAGCAGTTGATTTGATGTTTTTCCAAAATCTACCAAATTTTACTATGGAGCACTTCTCGATTGAGTGTCGCAAAACCAAAACCAAAGTAATTACAACGGCCAGTCAGAAGAAAGGAAACCACCCTAAGAGCCAGTAAGCACTCAAAGCAAAAACAAGTAAGCCGCCCAAAGCGCGGGAAAACGCGCGCGACCAAGTCGTGATCGGTGCTAGTTTTACGTCTGATTGGCTGAGAGGGTGGCGCGAGTTCCCTGGACCAATCAAAGGGGCACAAAAGTTAAGACCTATTTTTTTTTTGGTCAGATTTGGCGTGGGGGTTGATAATGGTGCAAAACGCAAGATGCGCTTTAATTGTAGCTTTTTATTACGAACTTATCATTGCCATTTTAGGATCCTATCTAATTTCTCAGATAACTTTCCACCATTGCCGATGCAGTCAAAGTCCACAACTCAGCCCATAGCTGATAAAAAGGAAGGTCCCTATCACCACCACAAATGATCACAAAGGAAAATCCTCTAACAATCATGACACACTATCAAGTAGAGGGGCTATGAGAATTAACGAATAATCAACTAAGCAGTTACAGCCTCGGTATCACACCAAATCCTTACAGCCTCGATACCACACCAAATTCTTACAGCCTCGATACCACGCAAATTATCAGAACCGGTCAGTGGAGACATTTATAATCATCAGATCCTGTATCTTGGAAGTGAAAAGGGTTAGAGATGTTTTCACTAATTTATTAGTTATTTTTTATCATTGTCTTTTTCTGCTGGCATATTCGGCGCGAAATAGCTATTCACAATTTTTACAGCATTATATTACAATTCACATCGGAATTCTTCCCGTTAAGATGTTTCTGCCTTTTGGCCTCTAATTACACTCCTCAAGTCCGTACAAGGGTTAAATACAAAGCCAATATTTAACAATAGTGTCCTCTTCTTATGTACAAATAAAATAAATACAATATATAAGTTAAAATTTAAGCCGTGAGTTTTAAAGGCCGGCGAGAGGAGCAGGACACGGGGGATTTATCAGTTAGCTTGCCAGTATTTTCCTCCAAAACTTTTTTTTTCCGTACCCCTTGACCACTTCTTCTTGGAAATAGACTTCTTAAACAAACTGGAGTAAATTGGAGATTGCCCCATCACTGGGACAAAATTCTCGTCGACCTCTGAAGCGGTTGATTTTTTTTTTAAGAAATTCATTCATAGATGAACAGTGCAAGATTACAACATAAGCACTTGAAAGTTCAAGAGAAAAAAATTTTTTCTAGTCAACCATATGCAGCGATCAAACAGTTCGTCCCGCTTATCAGGGGTCTTTTGGAAGACCTCCTCCTGGATTGAGGTATGACGCCCAAGAAAGTTATATTTTGTGCCGAGTATTCCATGAAAAATGAACTCTTGTTAATATACTCGACACCTTATCCAGTCGCAGCAACCTAGCAATCATGTTTCAACAGAGTTGTACAAGCGAAGATGGCTAAACTTCCTCAATCTGAAGTTCGATTCTAGGCTGGTACGCGTGACTTTAAAAGAAAAACGTTCACTTCACACTCTTCTGTTGATTCCACAAAACACGAAGTTATCCAAATCCGTCTTCATAGATTCCGCATTTCCTTGTATGATTGCAGTCTTGTATCGCAGTTCAGATTTACTGAACAAGCCAAAGACAAGGTAAGGGTCAAAAATAATTCAAGTCAATGTAAAACATTAGTGCTTGCAGGCGGACCAGAGCGAAGATTCTAATTTTTCAGCCGCTATTCGTGCGTTTACGTAAAGTTTTAAACAGCAAGTAAAACAGAATACTATTCAACCATTTCTCAGGACAAAAAAGGAACGCTTCTTGAAGTCCGGTGTGTACATCTTGGAAACTCGTGCCATTGAATCATAAACTCTTTAATCCTTAGTCTTCCCCTTACACGTTATAACTTTCTTCCTTCCAAGCTTCTTGGGGCAAAATGCACACTTAAAATTTGAAAGAAACCATCGTTCGCTTCTTCCAAACGGAAATTTTCCATGTATTTCCTTCGTTCCTTATTCTAATCTCCTTCTTTCTGGCTATCTTGTTCTTCGGGTTCCTCGTCTTCGTCTTCTTTCTCTTCATCCACCTGGTCTGTATCTTTTTCTCCGCCTTTCTCTTCTTCATCGTCAAATTCATCGTCCGCTTCACAGCTACGGCTGCTACTCACATACTTAGTCAGGTCTGGAGTTTTTCCAGCAACCACTTCTCTTAACCTCTGTAATCTTTTCTCGCAGTCGTCATCTGTGCAAAGGGAAAAAACAAACAACATTAGTCAAAATGTCATTCCACTCTCAAAGTACAAACCTCAAAGATGTTGACCTTGACATCGACTGCTAAGTACACCGTGTTAGACACTGGCCGCAGAATTTCCCGAATTTTACATGGATTTCGTGTTTTCTCGCGCAAGTCTCTGGTTCAGTGGAGTTCTTTTCGCTGTTTGACACTGGATACACATTTCCCGCGCTCAGGAACGGCTGCCAAATTTCCTGTGTTTGGCACAGGCTACCAATTTCCCCGCGCTCGACACCGATTGCCTACTTTCGCGCTCCATTTCCCATCGCGCTTAGTGCTGGTCGCATCATTTCCCGCGCTCGACACTGGATGCCTACTTTAGCGCTTGTCAATGCACAGGTCAAGCCTTTTCTCCTACACTGCGTATTATCACCCACTCACCAGACGTTTCAGGCTCTGATTGGTCGATAGCTTCTTTCCTTGTGCCCTGCCAACTGACTCGCTTCTCTCTGCCAGATGAACTATGTTCCCCAGGCTTCCTCTCCTGTTCGTGCTTGGGGACCTGGGCATTGTACCAGTACCTATTGTCCTCAATACGCTCTAATATCTCAATGGCGTCAGGATGTACCAAGTCGCCCCAGGTTTCCCAGAGCGGTTGGATAACAAAGTCGATAAACACCACCTAGTACGTGAGGGGATAAAACACTGATTAAAGTAACGTACAGACGGCGAATAGAAGGGGAATTAAAATTAAAATTATCGACGCTCTCGCCTCTAAGCTTTTGACCGATGTTCCAAAAGGAAGACACAAACTTACTGAAGAAACAATTTCAAACAGCACCAACAAAACTATTCCAGTTATTCAGTGCTGTTTTATGCGGTCATTTACTTCTCAACTGTTGTTTGGTCACGTCACACACAGGGAACAGAGTGTATTGCGTAACAAAAAAATTAAGCTGAGTAGGAGCGTATACCATAACTATTATTTATTTTTTGGGAATTGTGGGGCATTGTGGGGGCTAAAATAGAGATTGTGGTGGGCTAAACCTTGCACGCTCGCGTGATTTTGCATACTGTTTTGTTGCCGTTTCTGACAGTTTTTATTTTCTCACTGCCCTCCAAAGTAATAAGTAAATAATTGTAGGACAATTTATGTTTTTGGGCATAAACATGTTTTGAACTCTTCTCAGAGCTCATTTTAACCCTCCCACTCGAAAGTAAACTCTATTGTTTTAGTTCACCGTAATCTTACCTGGGATTTCTCTATAGAAGCGTTGTGTCTGTCCATCATTGGACTGATTTCCATTCCCTCGATGTCTCGCTCTCTGTCACCCTGAGATTAATCAAGCGGCAGCTCGTGAGCCGAAGTACAAAGTACAATCTATCAGGCGCACTACGTGAGCTAAGTAGGACAGCTTCAGCACTAATAATGACCTTAGAGCCGGGAGAAGACTCATACTAAGGGAATGCATGGAAAGTGAGAACAATACTGAGGAAGGATGAAGAAGAGAAAGGAAAATAATGGGATTAGAGGAAAAAGACTGTCACGGATGGAAGGCGAAGTGGGTCGCGGTAGGAAAGGCGAAAGGATGAGAAAACGGGCATTAGCAGAAGATCAATAAGTGAGCATAGAGGTAAACAATGAGAGATACGAAATATAAATAAACGGAGTTAGGGTTTAGCAAGAGTGCGCCATATCAGCCGCCTCCCCCCTCCTCTTCCCTCCCCTCCCCTCCCCATGGCTAGCCTTTAAAAAGTTGACAACAAACCTGTCTAAAGAATTCCTCCATTAGTCTGTCGACCCACTTTCTATACATTGGAAGAGGCTTGGCGGGGTTACTAAGATCAGCACAATGTACCAAGCACTTGAGAACCTATATGACAAATATCCACAAATGATAGTTGACGTTAACTTCGGGTGGAAAAAATTCTAAGCAGAGTCTCTTACTGGGATTTTTTTCCTCTTTTTTTTTTTTTTTCTTTTTTCTCGATCGGATTAAAGACCCCAAGCTTCGCGTTCGGACCATAAATCCGAGCAGTAAAAACTCGTTCTATAATTTGCGGTACGGACCGAGAAAACAAGGTTAGTAAAGGGGTATTGTTATTATTACTATTGTGCGTAAATGCTGTTAGGCTCACCTGCATTCTGTCAGTGGCGTTGTCTAAACACAGCACTCCACTGCCAGCCACCTTCTTGCTTTCGACCATGGTCTTTAGAGAGGCTAAAAGACTCATGTGCTTTGCGTTGTCAGTCGCGAGTACCTAACAGAATCAGACCAACATGACTCAATCACATCAAGTACCTCTGTGAAATGTATAATATATAGATTTAGCCAAGCCTAAAAGCGGAGCTCCCAAGGTCGTAATATTAATAACATGAAAGATGTCCATTTGCCAAGACTCGCCTGAGACATCCCTCCCTTCGTTTTGATAGTCTCCCCTACCCTACCCGTGTAATCTGAAGGCACGTACGTACGTACGCTCGGTCAGTCACGTGACAATCAAACAAAAAGAGGTTGACCATATTCCATGGGTGTGGGGCCCTTTCCCACGCGCGCTTCGCGCTTCGCGCGCGTGGGAGCCCCGCTAACAACAACTTGCCGACAGTGAAGTGAATATATACAACTCATTCGACAGTTTTACATATTATAAGCGCGCATATTTTGCGAGTTAAAAAGTACTTTCAGGAGCCCTGTAGGGGTGACGAAAAGTATGAGCAACCAGTAAAACGTCTTGTATCATATATTAAACCGGCGAATAAGTGATTTTTTATTCCACTACTATTTCATTTTCTCATCTTTCGCCTTCTAGCTTTCGAAACATATCCTACGGCCTTATCTAAGTATCGTATCACTCGCATGAGGCGTGCGTGAAAGAAGAAAACAACACAAACGAAACTACAGAAGTGTTTTTATGACCGACAAAAAATCTGAGCGCTTAAAAATTCGTTGCTTTCAAAGCCAAGCTTAAAAGGGAAATAAGACCAAAGTTTGGATCATTCTGTGCGGCGTTTTCGTTACGCCGCTTTCCGTGTGTATTTTTGCCCGGTTCTACAGTAAAAAACGACATGTTCTGCGCATGTTTTTTCCAATGCCCTAATAAGGGGAATGAGGTATCAGTGCAATCACATTGTCTAATAATCCCCAAAACGAAGTGGAGAGGATCATTTGACAATACTCACTGAGCCTGAAGAGATTGACTAATAGTATAAATATTCAGGTGATGCTCAGGGCGACTGTCTGTTGGCCTTGGTAACGACAATAATGAATCGCGTTGGAGAAAAAAAAAAAAACATGGTAGCGGGGTGTTCTACAAAACTTCACGAAGGATGTAGACTGGTGAAAGTACTTTACTTGAATCAATATCAGTATCTGGGGAACTGCGCACCCACCCCTCCCCTAACCGAACATTAACCCTAGCTTGTTATCAGTGACTGTTGTTGGGTTAGGGGAGGGGTGGGTGGGTACGCAGCTGTTCAGATACAGACATCAATTTCTTTACTCACTAAAAATTCGTGGTGAAAACTTCTTCCCTTACCATTTCAATAATTGTTCTCCGAACTGTTTGTCTTTCCTTTTTCGTAAGATTTTCAAAGATATCACAGTCTTCGTGTTGTAAAAGTTGAAAGGCCACGGCCAAGTGGTGATTTTCAAGAACAGATTCGTCATTGTACATCAGCGCCATTTCAGAATCTGTTCACAAAAGAAAAAAAAGAGTAATAAAAGAACAGTATGATGTAAAAGAGATGCAACATAACAGAGGGTTTCTTAAATCAACGCTTCTTCATCGTAGATTACTCTAACACGGGAATGATGAGTTTCAAACAAAAGTAATAATAATAATAATAATAATAATAATAATGATAATAATAATATACGTTAATTGAGGCTCCCCATTAGGGGCTTTTCAGCCACGATGTAGACTAACTAAGAGCTTAAAAATCCCCACTGGCAGGAGGCAGAGCAGTGGGCTATTTACAGAGCGCAGCCGAGGAGTTGAACTGGGGGCAACCAAGAACAAATCCAGTGAGTGGCAGGGTGGGGGACTTGAACCCGGGACACCGGATTACAAGTCCAGCACCCTAACCACTCAGCCACGCCGCCTCCTTCAAGTAAGACAAAGTATAAACTGCACGGGGGAAAAAGATTTAATGTCATGTTCACTTAACCCTCCACACCCTAACATCAATCTGCGTATTCTCCATACTGTTCTCTGTACATTTACTAAAGTTACCACAAGGAGAATTTATTTAACAATCTACAGCTTTATTAATTGGTGATCATTTCCTTTATTCTCATTACTTTAATGTGTGATTCAGGGGTGATATTGTAAGGAGAAATTAGATGTTAGTCACTCTAAGGAATCAAAGGGTTTAAGCCAAATTTTCTAGACAGATGTCCGAGGCACCAAGGGAGTTGGAAGTCTTGCTCAATAGGACAACAGTGATATCCCCCAGACCCCGGGGTCTAACACGGCCCTGCATAAACATAGTTTAACCTTGTAATCCCTAACAGAGATAAGTATCGAGTTTGTTCCAACAGCATCATGAGAATGAACCAAACGGTTGCGAACTGAAGAATCTCCTGATTGTTAGACAAATTCTCCTTGCAAGTACCGAAGGAAATGTGTAGAGAACAGTAAGGAGAATATGCATACTGATGTTTGGGTGAAACGCGTAAAGGAAAAAAACAAAACAAAACAAAGGCGGTTTTCGTTTCTTTTTGTCTGAAGTTAGTTCCAAGAAGTCCTGCGGCGAAAACGGAGCAAAAAATAGATTAAGAGCAAATGAAGAGAGAGGGAAGCGAAGAGACAGGTTTACAAGCCTCCCGTGCAGCTCGCCCTTACTCCATTTGGCAGTAAAAAGGAAAACGAAAAGGCTTCTACCAAAGATAAAAGAAACAATTGCAAATATATTTACTTGTTGCCACTAGGAAATGATTATTGACTCCTGGGTGGTCCACATCATGGACGGCACTGGCTAAGATGGCGGCGAGGACTTCAAGATCAGTAAAGACGGACTGAATAGAGAAAAAAAAAATATGCGTTAACAGCCAGTTCCAGGCTTCCGTTTAGTAAAACGGAGCAAAACAGTAAAAAGGGAGGTCAAAACGAGGGAGTTTTGAGTCGAGTCGCGTCCAGACCCAGACTTCCCTGGTTTTTACACTTCTCCGCTTCTTTCGCGTCGTTTATTATCGCGCTTTGTTGCAGTAACTAAACGCTTGAAAAAGACTAATGTGTTAGCCACTCACGGCAATAAAAGTCCTATACAAATTCGTTATCTACCGTCGTCTGTGGCTACGACTGACGGCTGCCTTTTTGTAAGCTTTTTTGCAGTGCGACCTCTACAACCAAGCTATAAATTTCACCAATGAAAATATGTTCCCTTACTTCGAAAGCTTGAGCTGATAAGAGAGTGTGTGACGTTTGCGTGACATCCGCCGCGTGAGTGCAGTTATGGAAGGGGACATCTTTTAAATAATGATTCTAAAAAGAAAAAAGAATTGTCATACAAGCTCACAATAATATAAAAAATTAAAAAATGTAAAATTTCTCCTAACAATCTCCGTACAAGACCATCCTTAGCCGTCTTTGATTAATTTTATATCCTGAAGCCTACCAAACTGTTATCCTTTCTCGTATAAACCAATTAGCGTTCTGTCACAAATGCTGCGATCTGACTGGCTACCCTACTCGCTATCTATTACGTGATAGATAGTGAGTCGAGTTAGAAGTCTAACAGTGTAGTTGTTAATAAAATAAAACAAAAACATGAGCCTAAATTATTGTAATGTTGTGAACAACTTATTATTACATAACCAAAGTAAAGCGCGCGCTCTGATTGGTCAATTCAGCGTCCACCATTTACCCAGGGGTGTACGCTGCTGACGTGAGCAAATGCTAAGACTAGTTTTCCGCGCTCGCTTGTTTTTTCTGGTCACGTAAGATTTGTTAAATAAAAGAAAAATCTTGCAACAATGTATCAATGTTACGTTAGAAAACAAGTGGTTAACGCCACAATGTACACTATTGAGTTATGGATGCATTTGGGAAGTTTACTAAGCACTCATGAAGCTAGAGTCGCTCTCAGCTATCGAGGGCCTTGCGCGACTCTTACGCTTCTTTCGTGCTTAGCAACCTCCCGCGTGCATCCATAACTCAATAGTGTACGCTGTGGTGTTTACCATTTGTTAACAAACATACACTGAGACCAATTGGACTAGACTTTACCGAACGTAGCCAAATCAAATAAGCAATCTTAACGCTTGTCTTACCTCGACTGACGACATATAGTTAATAAACGTAGTGGGTTTTATCTTGAATATTTTTAATAAATCTCTGGCCTGCAAGGAATCAAAGCTTAAAATCAATTAAGATACGTAGACTGTGAGAACAACACAATTATAAAAATCTTCCCCGGTCAGGGCCCGGCCCATTTCAAAGTCATCATAGAACAGAACGTTTTTTCCCAATACTGCTGTAAAATCAGCTTTTTCACAGGCGCAATTCGAGCCGGCGAGAGGTCCGTTTGGGTTTCGAAGCCTCTCGGACCTAATGCGCGCTCACTTCGTTCGCGGGCTCAAAACACGAAAGCCTCTGAGGCAATGCGGGTCTGTATTGCTCACAAACTAAGAATAAACAAACGTAGCAGGCTTCAAGTGCACGAATGAGTAAGTCGCGTTTTATTTCACTTTGGCAACTAGCTGGGAGGATGACGCGAGATTTCGAGACCAATTTTATGAGTGCAGTAATTAAAGGTCGCGATCATGGATTACTTTCGACACTAAATTGAAGAATTCTCAAAGAAAACGACAACAACAACACGACAACAAAAGCAACAACCGACCTGCAGGATTGTGTATGTAACAGCAAGCAAAGGATGCCCTTGTGTAAGGTCATGCAATTTGAACACATCAAATGTCCATTTGTTGATTTCTTCTAAGACCTGATGAAAAGGAATATAACACTTGACTGTAAATTTTACATTTCACTCTTTTTTTAAGAGACAAAACGCCTTTTGTTACCTTTTGTTTCACACTTTCAAAATGACAGCACAAGATGGGTTTGAATTGAAAAACTATTAAGCCATTAAAAAGCCTTGGCTTAAATTCGTTCAGTTTAAATATCAGAACTACAAAATGAACGGATACGAAACGAGATGCACCTCAACAAGAAGTACTAATACAACTCAATTCAACATTCTTATGCCAAAGCTCACCTTCGCTAATTCGCCCTCATTGGCTACTTCCACTCCAAATCTACGAATCAAACATTAATAAGAATCAATCAATTTGATCACCCAGTTGTTAGTCGTCGGCCAGTTAGTGAGTCAATCAGTCGGTCGTGTGGTCACTCTGTAAGTTAAGTGAGTCTGCTGCCAGTTGGTCCCCCAGCACTCAGTCAATGTCAGTCAGTCAGACCGTCCGTAAGTCAGTCATTCAGTCAGACCGTCCGTACGTCAGTCAGTCAGTCAGACCGTCCGTAAGTCAGTCATTCAGTCGGTCAGACCGTCCGTAAGTCAGTCAGTCAGTCAGACCGTCCGTAAGTCAGTCAGACCGTCCGTAAGTCAGTCAGTCAGTCAGACCGTCCGTAAGTCAGTCAGACCGTCCGTAAGTCAGTCAGTCAGACCGTCCGTAAGTCAGTCAGTCAGACCGTCCGTAAGTCAGTCAGTCAGACAGTCCGTAGGTCAGTTAGGCAGCCAGTCAGTCAGACAGTTCGTAAGTCAGTCAGACAGTTCGCAAGTTAGTTAGTCAATCAGTCCGTTAAACAGTCAGTCAGTTGTCATTCAGACGGTCTGCAAGTCAGTCAGTTAGTCAGTCATACATTCCGTAGTCAGTCAGTTAATCAGTCAGTTCGTCAAACAATCAGTCAGTTAGTCGGTTAGACAGTCCATAAATCAGTCAGTCAGTCAGTCAGTCAGCCCGTTAAACAGTCAGCAGTAGTCAGTCTGACAATCGGTAAGTTAGTTAGTTGGTCAATCACAGAGAAACGTTAAGTAAAACCAAAGCAATCTCTGATTACTTTCGACACAACTGAAAATTTCTCCATAATCTGCGCTATCTTTGAAACATTGTTTCACCCAAGAGTATCGCTCTAATTCTCTACTTCCCATTTTAGTATTTGACGGTACATACCTGGGTACAGAGCCACTAAAGCTGTGTAGTCTTGTAAGCTTTCGAACGCCGTTTACCATGGAACGAGACCTTGCTCGAATCCCTTCTCTTTTTGACTTTGTACCAGGCAGAGCATCCACCTCTAACTGTTTATCTGAAAATAAAAGACAGAGGGGAAAGAAAAAAATTGAACACTTTATACAGGCATTTGACTTGGAAAGTTACTCGATGAGCCTCTAAAGTTACCTGTAAATGTGTTATAGACCCAGGCCGACACCTGGTTTCCAGACTGGTTGCTTTCGGAAAAGTCTTTCAATTCTCTATTTAACAGTCTCTTAAACTTATTAGACGCCATTTCACTGACGGACGTGTGTGTTTGTAATGTTTCCAGTTGATACAACACCCAATCCAGCTCGTCCAGGGTATTATTGGCCAACTAAAAGAAAAGTAAATAAGTTTATAGGTATTAATTATATGAGCAAATAAGTATTAGAAGTTGATATGTTCCCGGTCTCGGAATTCACGCATGCCCAGTGTCAGCGTGTGGGTTAAGTCTGTGGAAGCTAACTTTGTTCAACTTTCATTAACCCCAACCTCCCAGAAGTGATGAAAATGTAACTTCTCCTTATAAAATCTAAAGATTATTCAGCAAACGGATACTGAGAATGCTCAAACTTTTCAGGTAGAAGTTATTGTCTTGATCTAACACCAAATTCTTGTAACTAATTTACAAGGAAACGTAGAGCAGGTAGGAAGGAGAATTATCAATCAGATCTTGAGACTTAAAGGGTTAAGTGGATTCAAATTGAAGATAAATTCTCGTTTGTTCCTCTCTAGAGAATTACCTTTTGATAGCCATCATCTCTTGGTAAATGAAGAGAACCTGCAAAAAGGAAAGGCAGCCATACTTTTCTTTGAGAACAAAACATGGCAACTGCCTCAACATTCTGCTAGGTTAGGAAGCTTTACACCTCACCACAAATGCCAAATATACACCAAACTATCGGGTTAGTCTAAAACAATAGATTTTTTAACCGTTTGTACAGTATTGTGAAAAAGTAATGCAAACGAAAGTGCGAATTTCGTTTTTTTGCCCTCGCGAAGTTTTCTGGAAAGTTCGTGGGAAGATTCGCACTTTCCATTTGCGTCATTTCGCCAGAGCCAAGAGCGCGATGAAAAGCATCAATACGCTTGGGAAAGAAAACAAGGAATTCTCCACGACATATTCGGTCTACCTGTCATATAATGAACACACAATGTTTCAAACGCCCGTGTAGATTGTGTCCACATCAGCTTGCTGGCTGCCTTTTCACCCACCCTCCCCACCCTTCACTCTACAGATCAGATAAACACCCACTGGTTGATTGATTACCTGAAGACATTCCTGAGCCATTGAGCACATCTTGGGCTAAATTGTTGTTTCGTAAAATATGTGATCCAACAGACCCTCTCCTCCTTAAATCAAGATTAAAATTAATATTATTTTATTATTACTTGGACAGCATATGCAAAATTCACGTGGTATAGTAAGATTATATCAAGAATGAAATTTTTGTGTCATCACAATTTTTTCTCCTAGAAAAACTGTTTGTTGTTAAATTGTTTGTTCAGTGCCTCAGAATAAACACATGAACAAATAACAAAGAATTTAGAGGAAGGTCACTATCAATTTCCAGTAATCTGGTTAGTCAGTTTTCTGTGTCTGTGAGTAAACCCCCCTAAAGAAGTTGCATTATAATGTTGGTACATGTCTGTATGTAGTAAACAAATTTATGATTCTGGCTGGAGTGTTGTAAAACTTACTTTTCCTTTTTAGCATTGGTCAGTGACATGAAATTGTTTCTGACATTTCTTAAACTTGAGAGAATCTACAGAGACAAGGACACAAAAAGAGGGAAAAAAATTGTAAATAACAATTAACCTGTTTGTAAATCTTCAATGTTATTAACATAATGTTTTACAATAATTCCTTTAAGACAGCGGCATACAATTTTGAGCCAAGATAAATACCATTCTAAAATAAATATTCACCAAACGAATTTAATAATGACTGTTAGAAAGAATTTATCCCGTTTTGATTAGATTTTTCTGCTTGTATTTTACTTTCCTTCGCCCAGCCCTGCAGTAAGATATATACAGGCCATCTGATAGGGTGCGGAAAAAAAAAATAGAAAATTATGCGGAAATTTTCGGCAATATTATGCGGAAAATATGCCAGATTATGCGGAAATTTCTAAAACTTAATAAGGATGTTCTCTTGGCTTTTTCTAACGTATAAAATACACGTTAACGTCTTACCGAGAATTTTAGTTCTTTATGACATGTTTGACATTTTGCTGCCATTCGTGGACAGGTATGTCTTCGTTCAACACAGTTTTTGCATAGTTTTCGTTGTTGAGTTTGTCCGAAGCTTAGTAACCAGCCATTACATCGGACGAGGGAAACGACACCGGAAGTCCGAAATCAGTATTAAACAAAAGTAGAGCCCAGGCCCATCACCGGAAGATGCATAAAATGCCTGGCGGTTTAAAATTGTTTACGAATGAAAGACGTGTTTTCGTCACTGTTTTGGGTGAATAACTCCTTCAAAATGATCAATCTTTTCGCTATTTTTGCTTTTGAGGATGGTAAGCAGTTGCTTTTTCGCTTATATGTAGAAATTTTCTAGTTTTATGCAGAAAAAATGCCCCAAGGATGCGAAGGATGCGGAGGATGCGGAAGTAGGCGAATTATGTGGATCCGCGCCACCGCATCCAGTCAGATGCCCTGTATAGAACTTGATAAAACATTTGCCTTGGAGTGCTCAAACAAAAACTAGTTTGGCTTTCACCTTTTTACCATTGGGAGTTATTGGCATCTAGTTTATCCTTCCTACAACACCCCTTAATCGCACATGAAAGTCATGAAGGTAAAGCAAATGATCACAAACAAAAGAAGCTCTTGCTTGTTTAACATATTCTCCTTATTGGCACCTTAAGAAAAATTAATGTATAGAGAACAATAAGGAGAACATGCACAGCAATGTTCAGGCATTGAGGGTTGAATCCTGAATTGGTGTTATCCATTATTCAAACATCTGCACTCACTTTTGTTACAGATTTGTGACACAAAAAGCACATCTATGTGTAGGTAAGAAAAGGAGTGAAACAGACAGGGGTTTCCATAAGCTGCTGCCGGTGATTTAATAGGCAGTTATGTCCAATAAGGGGACGTAAGGCAAAACTCAAACACAAGAACCTGCTCACCAGCTAAACTGACAGCGGTAAGAAGTCTTTTAGGGGGTGGTTAAAACCACTGGTAACCAGCTCTTAATGAAACCCCTGAACAAATCTTAGCCATCCCTGCGAGCATTCTCCCTTGAACAAGGAAAATAAATTCCTTACCTGTGCAAAAGGAGTAACCAGCTCTTCTACACGAGTTCTAAAAAAAAAAAGAAAGAAAATAATTATTGTGTTGTTAAGTCTACAGTTCACCATAAAACAGTGCGACTTTTGTTTTACTCTGTACTCATTTCATGTCAAATTCTCATGACCTAAAAATTAAATTTTTTTCTTCATTTCATTGAAAGAAAGTTTAATCAAATTTCATTTACTGTTGATGATAACAGATATTTTTTAATATCTCAAGAAAAGACTGAAAAAATTCCTATTCATGTAGTTTTCAAAATAATGTAAGCCACAATCAGTGTAGCAGACAAAATGAATTATGAAAACAACTCAAGTTGATAAAGCCTACAGTGTTAGATTTTCTTGGGAAGTGCTGAACTTGGCAAAGCTAAGAAATGGAGGTATATTAGTTCAGTTAGTACAGCTGTACAAGTCATGTAGGTCTTGCATTTCATTCACACTAATGGTGCATAGTTCTTAATACACAAACTCATGGATTAGGAAAGAGGTCAGTTTTGAGCTCCATCAATTTTGTTTAAAGCAGAAGACAAAAATGAAATAAAACAAAAAAAAAAAAAACCTGTCAATCAAGCCTCGTCTCACTTAATCATTGACTACATTATCAAATCCCCCTCATATAAAAACAGAAATCACCAGCCCAAACACCCCTGGCTTTGATTTCTATCAAACCTAAGCACAGACACTTTTTCTGAAACAAAAAGAGCTGCCAAAAGTTTAAGCAATATATGTTTTTCATAAGAAAAGGCATTTCTAAGGATTAGTTGAAGTCAAAGCATAAAAGAGAGGGATGTAGTTGCCTTCTGTGTGCATTCAATGTTTTCAAAATATCCATGCTTAAGCTTTCTTTTATTTCAAAGGATATTAAATTAAATGGTGTGCAGGTGTAGGTATAGATGCCAATCAAATGGTTGTATCATCCAATAGCCTACATTCCATATGTTTGCACCTTAGGAGTTTGCATTGAGTTTGTCAAGTTGGGGCTTATCTGCATGACATTACATGTACTGGTGATTGAAAATAATAAACTTAAGAATTCAAAAATGTTTTTTTTAATGGTTTGACTTCTTCACTTTGCACTTCTTTTCCTCTGGCAAATTTTTACCTCAAAAGCTCCTTATTTTAGTGTGATGGGACTTACTAAAAAAAAAAACAGCAGTGAAACAAAACAAGTTTGTCCTTTTACATTTTTTCCACAAAAAGTTTGAATGTTGGCTAACTGGCTTTTTGACTCCCAGCTTTACTCAGACATGGGTAGTTAAAAATTGCAAGCAATTCACTCACCCTTCACTGAAAGAGTGATGCCTTGAAGTTACACATTTGGATGCTAACTCAAACTCACTGTCAGATTTATAAAGGAAGGACCCTCGCCGTGTGGGAACTGGGAGTGTTAGTTTGTCTCCATCAGATCTCTCAACTGAGTCTTCGCCTTGGGAAGAGTACTTCGTGCGCTCACGCTTCCTCGGAAAGCTGCAGAATAACAAAAAATTAAGATATGATTTTTCCAGCGTCTAGTGCCTGATTAAGTCTTAAAGACCCGAAGAAAACTCAGCAGAAATTTTCCCACAATAATTTATATAGACCCGAATGTGATATATCAATACAAGGCTGACAAGCGACAGTGTGAATTCTTATGTCATACACCCACACTCTCAAAGTCAATTGTTTCCAGTGCACAATGTGACATCAAAAATAAATAATGGGGGAATTAACATAACAACCTCCATTCCCGGAAAGGGCACTCCTTTTTTTTTTACCTATCACATTGAATATCTCCTTACACTGCCACTATTGAATCAAATAGTAAATGATCCCCAAATAGTAAACAGGACTGAGAACACAAACAATAGCCAACTAGCCACAGACTAGTCGAAATACAGTTTGGCTAGTGGTTTTTTATTTCCACAAGCCAGTTTGGCTGGTAAACAAACTGAAATTGTTGTAACATCTAAGTTGTCACTAGCCACTTGGCAAGTAAGTTCAAAAGTTATTGTTGGGCCTTGGTAAAGCTATTGATTGTCAAACAAATCATCCTGTTCATAACATAAAAAAATGGCTTGAGTGTATGGAGAACACGCATCCTGATCAATGTTGGAGTGTAAAGGGTTACAAAGTAATTTTTTTAGAAGCCTTGAAAGTTTGTGAATGTATTGAAAGCCTGAAAAGGCTTGGTCAGTGCAGTTAATTACATGACTTGTGTGTTTCAGTGTTACTATTAATATTGAATTATCACATAACCAAACTTATGAAGTATTGCACTAAGAAACACCTTTGTAACCAAAATGATGGCAACAAGCTATCTTATAGTTAGTGAAGAAAGATTGCAAACACACATTATGACTGGAGTGCAAAGAAAAAGCTAGTTATAAATATGTCAACAGCTGCTTAATTTCAAGCTATGCAATTTGTTTGAAATTACACTGCTACATTTTTACAGTCAAAGTCAAGATGCTATTATTTTTCATGCTGGTTATATGGCCTTGTAGAATTAAGCATCCAGTAGAGAAAAGCATCATAATCCCAATGATCTCCAAGTTGAATGGGAGTAATTTAAAGCACAGAGTTGTTGATCATTTCGAAAGTAGAAAAAGAAATACGAAAAACTAGGCCACATTACTATCAGGAACAACAAGATGTTTTGCTAGATTTCATGCAATACAGGAACTATTTAAATAAAATGTGCTATGAGTTCCATGCATGGTTGGTAAATTATTCTACTCAATACTGGGAAATGGCCACTGTATAGATTTCTTCAAGGGTATTTAGTGCTTTTATGATTTTTTCGTCAACGATTAGCTGTTAGTGAGCTTCTATGCGCTAGCTGATGTTTGGCTGTGTAGCCGCGTGATGCGGTTCCAGTCAATACCCACTAATTGACCCATGCTCACCATAGAGTCTCCTGTAGCTCAGTGGTTAGAGCATCCGACTAGATCACGGAGGGTCGTGGGTTCAAATCCCATCCGGAAACTCGATTTTTTAAATTGTTTATTTTCATTTCTAAACGATTATAGTACAAATAAATTGAGATAGAGGAGCAGCCTGCAGTTTTTACCTGCTACGGGCTACTCTTATTGAGATCTCTGAAGTAAAAAAATGTGACCATCTTACAGTTAATCAATAGCCCAAGGGGCAATCTTAGAAAAAAAAAAATTCAATATGGAAAGCACTTCCTGAAAAAAGAGCATGCCTCTAAGGAAACAGAGTTTGACACTAACAGTAGCCAACTAGCCAGAGACTAGTAGAAATTCAGTTCTGGCTGGTGATTTTCAATTTCTATCAGCCAGTTTGGCTAGTAAACAAACTGAAATAGTTGTGACATCTAAGTTTTCCCTAGCTGCTTAGTTTGTAAGTTGAAAAGTTAGTGTCAAGTTCTGCACTTGAAAGTTAAGTGGGGTAAACAGTTATTTCCCATTTTACAACAATCACAGACACCTGTATAACACTACCCACTTTCTATACTTTTTTCTATTTTACAAGGAGAAAAAAAGAACACCATAATAAGATACTCAATACAGTTCATCCACATTATATGGACCAAAGAGTTGGAAATAATTTTGTATTGCTCAAGAAAGATTGTGGTGCATGTGAATCAATCAAAGCAAAAAAAAGAAAAACTGAGAAACCTGTGCCACTTAATTTCTTAAAATTGAAATTTCTGATAACTTAAACTATAAAAGAGGCTGCTTCGAAATTCTTCCCAGCCACAATATTGCCAATAATAAATTATATATTAAAATTGAAAATGGTCTTTCCTTTTGCGTATCAATCAGATTTCTCTGCAATGCTTAATAGAACTGGCAGCAAACCATGCACATGGAATTTCAATTAATCCTAAAAGTATAAAATAAAGTATTTGAAGTAAATTATTCAAATGCGACAGACATTATGTCATGCGGTCTGTCCTCTCTGTATAAATTTTATGTAAGCTATGTTTAAAAGACCAATTATCAACTAAACTTCCTGCCACAAAGTTAACTTCCTCTGCGTGGACTTTTTGAGGTTCAATACATTATGTTTGAGATGGTTTGGTCTACTGTGTGTTGAATTTGAAAGCATCTCTCTAGTTCATCAAAGTAGCTTGTAAAAGTTACCTGTGAGTCACAGTTCAAACATTTTGAATAATTACATTCATGCCAAATTATTTTCAAGCTCACTTAAAAGTAATCTGTGTTATTCTTGACAATCCTTGACCCTTCTTGGCTTATTCTCAACAAATGTTTTTTTTTCCCATCTGGTCTAGCTTTATTCTCTTAACAACAAGAGAACTATCTTCTTGTGCCCTCATTTCATAAGAATAACATTAATGGCTACCATAAAATAACCAATGTCTTCTACATCTTCCCCACACTTTAACTCCAAAGATTTAAAATCATCTCTCTGCACTGTCTGCCATGTATTTATCATGGCTTTAGCTCTGAAAAATTATCCAGTCCAGATATTTTTCCTTCTCCTCACCACCTCTACGCTTGAAAATGTTATGATGATGTAAGAGTAAATTCCCTTTTGGGAAATTAGCTTCATGCACGTGGATTACTTTTACAGGTAATTAATTCTTATGATATAAATTTCAGTTGACTATGCCAAGCAAGCCAAGAAATAAACACATGCAGTTAAAATTACCCGTCCTCTTAGTGCTTTGTCTTTACAAATCAAGCAACAGCAGTTTTAATCAACACTGTTCTTTCTGCTTGAGGAAACACAAGGTTAAGAGAAGCCACAAAAACAGGAAGAAGAACAAGAAATCTATTGCATTCATCAGATGACAGAAGTGCAATTAGAATGTTTTCCGTAGGTGCATTATTAACACAAAAAGATTTTTTCATGTTGATTGTACATAAATTATCAAAACCTCACCAATCAACTTGGGTCAAAACCTTAACCCTCACAGTTCAAAAGGAGATAGTCATCAGAGAAGGTGTGAAAGACAGTTGTATACTGTAAGATCGGGGAATATAGGAACTGATTTAAGAAATTCAGAAAAAAGATTTCATGCAAAGTAACCAAAGCAAATAATTAGCCTTCACTTGAATTTATCACAGTCTCCACTAGCTGCTGCTAACGTTCACTTTTACATCTAACCATAGACAAATGTAAAAAAAAAATTTGCTAGAAGCTACATAAACACGACCTACTTAAAGTGCGATTTGTAGTAAAATTATTGAAAATAAAATTTCACATGGCTAAAACATGTGTTCATTCTCAACAGTAAGTAATGGAAGATACCTTAAATCTATAGCTTCAACTCATAATAAATCAGCTCACACTGTTGGCAAAAACTGATAAACACAGCCTAGTATTGCCAACTCATTACAAGTGTTTTCATTCAGTTAACTGCCACACTGATTTTAAAAATTGATTTCTAAAATCTATCAACCAAGGAAAAAATATTTGGATTACAAATGGATAGTATAATACTTAGTGCACAACATGAAAACATGTAGTTAATGTATGTTGTTTCTAAGTAAAATGAATGGCATTGTCAAAACATTCCAAAAATTCTCCAGCTTCCATTTGAAATAGCATTCATGTTTTGGTGTTAAATTTCAGACAATAAGGATAAGGCTTTGAAGAATCTGTCAATAACACTGTGAATGTTCACTTACAGCAAGTGAAGTAGAAACTCTGTAGTGTGCCAAATCAAATTAGTTCAAAAATATGAAATAGAGTAGAACACACATACATTTACCTCAGACAGGGAGCTTTTATTAGTAGCAAGCTAGGCACTGGTATATGTGGGACTCTTAGTAAAATGCAAATGATCACAACAAAAGACAACAGAAACCCTTAGCGTACTTTTGTGTTTAACATATGTCACCGTGTTCATTGAGGTAAATCAATTGAAGATCATAAGACAGGCAGCTTACACTATGTGAAAATATGGCAAAATAATCATGACAGATGTACAATTTTGAACAAAGGGACCATATCTACCTCCATGTAGAAACAGATGACTCAAGGTTTTATGTAGTTAACATAATTATGTAGATGTTGGGCATTTGTAACATGGAAAGTCTATGTTGGCTGTATTCAACTTATGACTGTAACATTAAATATAGTACACTTCATTTTCCAGAAAAATAGTCTATTTACCAGTACTAGTAAAGTTTTTATCTTGATTTTAGGCTAGATATCTAACTTCATATCAAAAGGTAAAAGCTATTACCATAAACTCAGAACATATCCAGTTTAACTGTTATAATTACACATCAGCGTATTTCTCAAAAAAATGTTCTTCCTCAAAATACTTTGATTTCATGATAAAAATAACAATATTGCGATACAATTTTCTTAGGAAATCCTCCCAGGTTTTTAAACTGGTATCAATCAAATGACAGTAACATAATTTTCACTTGACTGTCAGCCATGTTTTGTAAGGAATAACAATCTAAACACACACGATTCATTGAGGTTTCAAGCAGATTTCTGTGCGTTTGCTAGTCTGTTTCTCGGTTAACATACACTTATTACAA